GAAAAAATCGCTGTTTCACTTATGGAAAACAAGCACAAAAACTGTGATTCTCGCACGGCATGTCAAAAATATATTTGCAGGTGGTTTCTTAAACATAAATATTCCTTTTGGAGAAGAAAAATCAGAATTTTGGTGCGTAAAAGCGTTAGCTGTAAATTATTGATCACAACGTCAGAACCCTAGTAAAATTAAAAGAAAAAACTAGTGAAGCTACAACAGCACATACTTTCTCCTATTATTTATAACTTATTTACTTTTTGAAAATTCAGAGTGCAACAAAAATGGAACCTGCACCTTTTTTTAAGCGTACTTTGTTACACTTGAGAAAAATATATTACAGAAAAAAATTGGAGCAGTTTTTGACAATTAAAAAATATCCTACATTTCACGCAACATTTCGCGAAAACAAATCATACATTCGAAAAATTGTACATGACCTTATTTCAAGATCTTAATAATAACAGTTCAAAATGTCTTTGAGAATAAGTTTCATTAAGGATTTTAATATACAGATAATTAAGGAGTTTACATATGTATTAGTTATTTAAAAAATCTATATTCAATTTTGTAGTTGTAGAAAGACGCCGAAAAAAGTTTAAACTTACAAAATGTTTGAAAATTCGGATACTTCAATGAAAATAAGGCCTGCATTAAATAACGTCATGTATCATTTTTCGTAAATATAATAAGTTTTTTGCAGTTTTTAAGTAAATGCAATTAAAAATATATTTTCTTAAAAACATCTCCAAAATTGTTTATGTTAATGTTTTTCTTGAGAAGAGTACATTTATAAATTCGAGAAAGTACTATTAAGAAATGCGTAGTTTCCATTTTCATTGACCTCTCTAAATTTTCGGAAATTGCAAAAGTTGGAAATAACCCGAAAAAATAGAAGTAAGTGTAGGGATAGTAATGCAGCTATGTAGGGATTCTTATACCCACTTAATTGCTCCCAGAATTCTCTCTCCACCCGACAATAATAAATTTCATCTCTGTCGAGAAACTGACTTTAAAGATTACAGTGAAATGTACATTACATTACAGTGAATTCAAATGTCAAAAAAATAAAACAAAGCTAAAATTTACAAAAAAAATTAAAGCAAATTATTGAATTACGATGTAAATGATATTTTTCACGGTGCCCATTGAAGAACGTGCATTACGCAGCTTGGGATTATCGAGCCTGGCACCTCAATCGTCGTGAACTGGCTCCGATTGGCTCTAGTTCGCATTTCACTTCACGCACTCCTTCATTCATCACAGAGAAGATACAAGTATTTTCTGTCTAATTTTACGATTTACAGTTATTACAATATTATTGTCTGTTATTAATCTCTATCAATGCTTTCTAATTACAAACCGTATCATCCATTTCCATTCAATTCCATATCATTTCAATTCGTACAATCGTGTACATACGAATGTAATGGGCTCCTGAAGCTCAGTTATTGTGTATGGATAGTTTTTCTAAAGTCTCCCTTCAAAAAATCCTTGACAAAAGTACTACAAAATTACTTCACGAAAGTCATGCAAAAGTATTTCAAACTGAATCGCATAGCACTACCTTCGAAAGACCGAAACCAGGTTGCGTAGGCTTCCGCGGCCGGAGTTTATGTTGGCTGGGCTATCCGGGACGAGTCTGAAGAAGGCCACAACACGCTGGCCGAAACGTTAGCCACCATGACATTGACGCGGCTCGTCCCGGATAGCCCAGCCAACAGACCGAAACCAGTTGTATACTGAATTTCCGTCTGAAACATATTTTTTCGATCCTTGATAATTGTGGTAGAGGAAGAGGAAGTGCTGATACTCAGCATTCAAACGAAAATGGGGCGTTGCTGCTTCGAAAAGATACGGAACTGCCCCTCGAGAACAAGCCTCGCGAGAACCGAGGCCTCGGTAGCAACCCAGGGGACACGTGCAGGTCCTAGAAAATGGCCATGCGCCGGCGCTCGGCAGCAGAATCGTGACGAAATGAGAGCGGGTCCGCGCGCCAAACTATTATCTGGGCCCCGTTTATAAAAGTGTACAGCAAATACAAGTCGTGTTATTATCCTAAATAATAATAATAAAAATATTCTTTACAAAATTCATATTCATCAGTCCACGATTACTATTGTACATAAGAAATTAATGTTACAAACATATTATATTGATTTAGAAACAGGGTTACATTAGCTACCAAAGCAGAGGAAAATAGTTCTGAAGGATTTTTTAACTTTTATTGCATCATCTATCGCGAGATATCGGAGGAATTATTAAGTAATTAATATGTCTTAGAATTGCGGAACCTTCAGTGTAAAAATAGTCTCTCTTTTACCTGGTTCCTAAACTGATAGATTCCTGAGATGAGTATAAGTATAACAAAACCTGAATAATCGTTGAAAGAGTGAATTAAAACGTTTTATATCGTCTTTAGCACGCTAGTAAACATGCACATTAAAGGCTGAACCAAAAATATAAAATATTGTAATAGTATCACGATTATAAAACTTTTTTACTTGAGGAAAGAGTACAAACTTTTTCACCTCAAAGTTACAGGGAAGTGCATTATTCTCCATCAAGAAGTGTCTACACTTCATGTAACAAATCTGTACTGAGTCACTGTATCATGTAGGTATGAATCACATATATTTCAAAACATTAATAAATTATTTGGAAAAAATCGACATATAATAATCACGAAATAAGTAATTTTATATTTATTTTCTTGATTTGGGAATCGATATACAATTGATACAATTTTACAGTTATTACGTATAAGATAAATTGTGTAGCATTCTATATACATCTGAGCAGCAGTGGAAACTATGAAATTACAAGGGGGAAACATGGAATGTTCCTTAGCATCATGAATCATCTCTTGTATTTAATCGACACATTCAGATGTACACGAAAATTATGCCGACTTATAAAATACGAGAGTCTGAATATGGCAGTCCTTTTAACAAATAATTATTCACATCCTTATTAAACATCTTCTAGCACTGAATACCTTCCAAAGGTTAATTCGGACGCATCAGAAACTGATGACTTTACATTTTAACTATTCCGAGCTTACTCTTTTATTTATTTTTATGATTCTTTTCTAAATTAATTTATTTCACATGATTTAATTATGAATTCATTTATCTTTAATTTTGCTTTCATCTAGCAAAATGTCACATTAGGAAGCTATTGGCGTATGGATGAAGTCGACAGGGCAAGTGGCGACATATTGTTCAGTCCATGGCGAGAATATAATCAATGTGTTTTGGCTCTGACACGTACCATCAGGGAAAGAAAATTCAAACTTTACATTGCAATTTACACACACACACACACACACACACACACACACACACACACTTATTCGTTGCTTTTAGAGCCTAGGTTCACATCATCACTGACAATTCAGAAATATGACAATTATTATAATTAGAAAAAAAAGCATGTTTTACAAGTACCAAATTTATATCGCTGCAAATATTTTATCTTCACCATTGAAACGTAAAATTCTGCAAATGAAAGGCAAATCAAATTTGGTACGCAAAACAAACGGTCGTTGTACAGAAAGGTACAAGGCAAAATACACCATCTCTTGATTATCAGGTGGCAGGTCCAGATTGATAGAGTGTACTCTCAACAAACTCGGCGTAATGTTCGAATCGTTGTATAAGTTTATTGGGTCTCTTATCAGTTGGATCGCTTACCATCATAAGCTCTGTTTTTATCTTCAGTTCTTGGCATAAATATATCAAAGAAATATAGTGTACACTAGTAATGCATGTACTTTTTACACAAACACGCCTTTTGAATTACGTGCACCGAGTTGACAGTACATACATAAGTCTCTCACAATTACAAGAGGTAGCATAATCACAGTAAAGAGCACAGCCGTCTTATTAACAGCATCCTAAATTTCCACCCATATTTCGTCACTACAGATTCATACACAAGCTTTGTTTCATTTTCTAGTTTTTTTTATACATATCCTGAGAATTGCAGAGTACACGCAACGTTACCCTAAAAAGTCCATAAATCCAACATTTGTGGAAATGTTTTCTTAGTGCGCTTCTGTAGATTTTTGTAGTATCATAACATTACATAACAATGATGATATTAGTTGAAATAATTTAAATCATTTACTTGTTTAATTTTTGCAATGCACATTTGCGAATAGACGAGTTTACAACATGTTCTGTGCTGCTACTTGGCAGGTCTCGGTAGAAATTGATAATTGTATTCCATTTTACAATGAGCACGATAGGAATAATAGATACGTCTTTTATACGAGTTACAACAACCGCCACATCTTAAGGGAATGTAATAATGTATGATCACACAGTTTATACATCGTATGAAGTCTATTATTAATGAATATGTTGGGGTGAGTGCAAGAAGGTGTCTAGGAAAAACTGACTCAATTAAATATCTAAATACATTTTACTAACAATTTAAAAAAATATTGGTTGACGTGAAGTAAACAAGAAAAAAAAGACGATTTTCACGGATATGATTTTCCACCTAGAATGTTATATTTAAAGTTAAATAGTTATCTGCATTACGTTGTAAAATGAAATGTGGAAACAAAACATGTTGGTTTACTCACGAGGTTAAGAATTTATTTTTTTTAATTTCCATAATTAATTAAATTGGCAGAGAAAGATCACGGAGGGATTTCCTCTCCTTCGAAAGAAATATTGATGATTGAATGCGGATTGCAACTTATCAAGGGAACCGAAATCATTCTGAAACGCATCACACACAGCAGGGAAGGCTTGGGGAGTGCAACCCAAAGGAGAATTGAACTTAAGCTTGCGCGTAGGAGAATTGAGTAGGGTAACAACGACGAGATACGGTAAGGCTTTGTCGAAAAAGGACCCCGAATCCAAGGCCCGCGTTCTCGTCCACGAATCGCAGAATCTCTCCCTCAGCGGAATCGCCGAGCCCATCGCAGAGTGACCGCTTCGCGCGCGCTCGCCGCGCCTCCCGTCCCTTGTTATTCTTCTTCTTGTCACGTGACGTTGATCTCCTCGTCGTCGTCTTCGTCGTCGTCGGGCGCGGAGTCGTCGGCCGCCGCCGCCGCCGCCGCCGCGTCGGGGGGCGTGGCGCGCGCCGCCGCAGACGCCGGCCGCGCGGGGTCGTCGGGGGCGGAGCCGCCGGCGGCGGTGGCGGCGGCGGCGGCGGCGGAGGCGTTGCCCGCCGACGCGGGCTCCGGGGAGCCCAGTGGCGACAGCTCCGACAGGTCCATCTTGGGGCGGTCGGCCTCCGCGTCGCTGAGGTCCGGGTGCGGGTTGTTCTTGTTGGGCAGCGTCTGCTCGCGGGAGCCGCCGCTCGCCAGCAGCTCGCGCTCCTTCGAGTTGCGCCACTTCATGCGCCGGTTCTGGAACCAGATCTTCACCTGCAACAGGAGGGCGCCGTTCAGAATCACACTTTCTTTTCATCCTCTCAGATTTCGACGAGGAGCTTATTCATGTATTATTAATTATTGTTATTATAACATAGCGAAAAAATTAATTAAATATTCGGAATCATTCTTAAGGGATAACAATTGGTGAAGGTAATTTATTTTTCTACCTATATAAAGTTGGCAATCATTCCGTCAGTTAGTACTCATATCTATCTGACACTTTTAATGTTCATAATATTGACAGAATCTTGGGTAAAGTGAAGCGAATATGAAACCTTCAACCAACTTCCAACAATGGTTGACGAATGACGCGAAATCGCAAACGAAACATCGATGTTCAAAATTAAAACATCGATGTTAATAGTACATCGACTAAAATCCATCGATGTTTTCAACATCGATGCTTTAAAATTTCTTTAGTAAACTAAACATTAAATTTATACATTTTTTTTTATTTACAAACAAAACTTCAAAAACCTAAATGCATCATGCACAAAATATCAATGTTAAAAAGATCGGCTGTAATATATCGATGTTTAAAACATCCATGTGTCTATATTTTAATCGTTTGTTTTATATGTTTTATCGTATCAATGTTTTAAAAACACTGACATCCATGTCGCTTCCCTTATTATATACAAGACACTCCTGAGAACAACGCGCTTCAATACGAGTAATACAATTCATCACTTTCTTACATACATCCCTACTGAGGATTGCTGCCAATAATTCTAGAAATTCCGTCGGCACCAAATCTTACTCGTAATTAAGGCTTTGTATTGACAACCAAAGCGTCATGACTTCTTAGCCGCATCATGGAGGTGTATGCCCGCTACGCACCGTGCTGGAAGTTACTAAACATAGAACAATCTGCAGCCGCCAATGCCCCTCCGACACAGCCGTTGCTACCGCTGCCGCCCCAGCCAACCGGGTCGCCACGAAATCGGCCCACGCACCCCTGCTGATAACATTCGCATCCCTTGCTAACGACGTTATCGACATTATCCCAATTCTCCCCGAGAGCGTCGCAATCGCTGATTCCAAGAAGATTGCCGACGTTGCTCTCGTACCGCAGCTCTCTCCATCACTATCACTATCCCTGCCGCTGTTGCTACCTCGGTCAGATCTCCTGCTACGCATTTGCCAGAAATCTCCGTCACCGCCATCTCCTCACCGCGCCAGCTCCCTCTCATGATACTATCATTCTTACTGCCTTTATCAAACTTATTTTCCCTGCCCGTCCCACACCACCATCACCGTCACCGTCGCTGGCACCGCAAGGCCACCGTCACCGCGCCGCCCGCCCACGCGATTACTTGAAAACACACACACAATTAAGCCCCCATGGGCGGCTCGGCACCGTCTGCGCGCCGCTTTGATGCCGACTCGCTCAGGCGTGAAATAAACAGTTTTTTGATGTCATTTCCATGCGCCGCGCGCCTATTAAAAGCAAGGGGCGCCCGCCGCACCGACGTCGGATTTTTTTTATATTACTTTATCGCACACCGCTCTTTTTTTTATGTGGAGGTATATATACGTGCGTAAACGTGCGACGCGGGTGCGAGCGAGCGCAGCGCAGAAAAAAAATTAAATTGTATTCACTCCGTTGAGCGTTTTGTACTGGAGATGTTTAAAAAGAAGTGAGTTCCGCGCCCGAGCCCATTGTGTTCGCAGACCGGGGGTTGCGGACGGGAAGGGGGGGGGAGGGAGCGGGCAGTCGGGGATAGTGTGGAAGGGCAGAGAGCGATGTAGGAGCGGGGGAATGGGATGAGAGCGAGGAGGAGCGAGGGGGATTTATACTGATGCTGAGCGGATTAGTCAGTGGATGGCATGGTTGGTGGAAGAGGGCTAGATACGTTGGTGGTCACGCGGAATAGGCTGGATCTCAAAGAGAGCAGAGGAAAGAACTCTTATTAATAACAATCTTCCTGTTTAAATACGCTGGTAGAATCGAACAAATTCACTAACTTATTCGATGGCTTGTCGAGTAATTTTTCTGAATGTTAAGGTATTTCTCTTATTAATTTTATGTCTCTGTGTCTGTCGTGAATTGTTGGTCTCTTGGCCCTCGAGTATTTGCACAATGCGTGCAAGGAGGGTTTGCGGAGCCCAGAGAGATGTAGGATAGTAAGCAGTAGTTGGAACGCCATTAATACACCCGAATGCAGGGTGTGTAGGTGGGTATCTTAGCCGCTTACTGGGAGTTCCGTAGGGTGGTGCCATTAATCCCTGATGGAATCTCGTCCTTCGTCGAGTTCTTTGCTACCACTCGGGAATGCTACTTGACGTCCTTCTTTTAATAACACACAATGAAAACTATTTCACGGAATGGAACGTTTTAATTGCTTAGGAATGATTATTTTAATCACTGAAATCTTGTACTTTACAGAAAAGTTTTTCTTTTCGAAAGTATAAGGAACATGTGATAAGAACGTTGTGAATAATTCCAATTGCATTTTTGTGTATTGCAGATGTTGAGAACAGCTACGGTGATTCCCGTTTTATTGCCGAATTCTTTGCCCACTCTGTGCCATTCACGAAGGAAAAAGAAAGACGTTTGAATCGACTGGGAACATCTCCGTTCTCCTCCCTCTACTTCAGACGGAACCCTCTGAAAATATGTGAAAGAGGAGGCGGTTGAGTCATCGTCTTCCTCCCACGTACCTCTAGTAACACATCAGCCGTCCGCTGGGAAAGCTCGGCAAACACTTCTTTCGCGATAAAAGGGGCGTCGACGACGATCGGATTCGGCGCCGGCCGCTGCCGCCCCTGGCGCTGCCACCACCGCCGCCTTTGCCTTCTCCTTGGGGCCGCTTATCTCATTGCCAGCCCCGCTACAGTAACCATCCCCGCCCCGTCTCCGCAGGTAAAGACCCGCGAATCGCAATTCCCTCACCGCCACCGCCGAAGCTCCTAACGAGCCTTTATCCATCTCCGCTGTTCCCTGCAGCGTTGCTTTCTCCCCTGCCACAGGTTCCATCTAGGCTTTCAAGCCGCCTGACCTCCCGCCTTCCGCCTCCTGTCTCTGCTTCCGCCCCGCCACCGCCGACCCCGCCTCCTCTGCCGCCGCCGCCGCCGCCGCCACCTCCAGCGACGTCCTTTTCAGCAACGTCAACATTATCCCGGTCGCCGGCGGCAGCGGTCGCCTCATATCCGGCGGCAGGAGTTTTTCTCTTTCCAATTTTCGACCTCCCGCACGCGACGGGGCGGCGGCGGCAGCTGCGGCGCTCAATCGGCGGCAGCCGGCGGCGACGACAGGCGAGGTCGGCCCCTCCCCGCCCGTCGCCCTGCGCCGCCGCAGCGCCTGGCGGCCCCGCGCGGCGGCACGCGCCCACACATCACAGCGATGATGTAATAATTGATTTTCGGGCGGCGGAGGCAGAAAGGGAGGAGGGACACAGGGCCGCGGCGACTAGCGAGCAGACATGTCACCTAAAAGTCAGAGGGAAGGAACGCAAATAAGAGGGACGCCCCAACAAAAGCGGATGGGAGACATAGAGATGACTGTCAGAGGATGGAATGAGATAAGGCGCGGTGAGTGAATAGTGGTGAGAAGAAAGGTAACAAGGAGCCGACAGATGGGCATCATCACAGAGAAACAAAAAAAAATTGGGTTAAATGAAATGATAAAGAAGATATAATCTTAAAAGACCGCTGGAAAATTGAAGTAATGAAGTGAATGTATACAATTTCTTTATCTTATCTCGTTTTTATTTTAAGGACAAAGAAGACCGAAATACAAAAAAGGGAATATAAAATTCATAAAAGGATAACTCTGAATACAAACGAAATGAGAATGAGAAGGTTGGATATAACTATATTCTTAAAAATCATAATAATACAGAAAACTGTTGTATTTTAATATTTCAGCTTGATGTACTTCAGGCTAAATACAATGAAGAAAATGGAGGAGAGTAAAATAGTAAAGAGTAAATGAAGAAAAGTTTAAATGTACATTGAATATTGCAGTGGAAAAAACGGACATTGTAGGATGTGCAGCAGAATATTCAGGAATGAAACAACAAATGGTAAGAAAACAAAGAAGAGGAAAGAGAAGACGTAAATGTCCAGTCAGAAGGCGAGGAGCGAGGGAAACAGCTCGCCGTTGAGTGAGCGACTCGAGGGTCCGCGCCCAAGATGATCAATCACACGTGGTAAGCGCTGGAACACGGTGTCGCTTGTGCGCACGACGGCGCGAGCTTGGCGGGGCGTGGGGCGTCGGCGTGGCGGGAGCGTGGCGAGCATGAGGCAAGGGCGGGGCAGAAGCGGCGGGCGGGGCAGGCGGGCGATGCGGGTTGACCGGGAACTGGAAGAGCTTGGACTTGGCGGGAGGGGCAGCGAGGTTAGGCGGTGAAGGGCGGTGAGGGTGGGGAAGGCGGAACAAGAGCGGGTGGTGGCGGATCGGGTTCGGGCGGGGCGGGAAGGGTCGGGGACGGGCGCCTGTCCGCTGGGCGGGGCGGGCGGGGGGTGGTAGAGGGGCGTGGCGAGCGGGATAGACGGAGCCGGGTAGAGGTATGAGACGAAGTAGGGTGGGGCATGGCGGGTGCTGGGCGGAAGCGGAAGCGGGCAGAGCGGAACCTGGCAGTGAGGGTGGGAGGGAAGCGGTGGTTTTGCGGGCAGGCAGGTCCAGCGAGACAGCGGAGCGGGGCGGGTCAGGACGAGGCGGGGCAGGGCGGGTTGAGCGGGGCAGAGCTGGGTTAGCGGGGCAGAGCTGTGCGGGGTTGCGGGGGCGGTGGCACGGGCGGGGACGGAGCCGCTGCGGGGCGAAGTGGAAAGAACGCCGAGGGGAGCGAGGTCGCTTGGGACGGCAGGCGAAACTCTCGCGCGCCGCTTGATGACGGGATGGGTCCGCCGTAATGGAGACGGGCGGGCTGGACCGGCGCCAACGCCCCACTCTATGCTATCATTTCGAAATCACCGCCGGATCAGTTCGAAAGAGCTCCACCTCAATGCGGCCGATGGACTGGCGCCATGTGGTCGCACAATACGCC